AAATAAATTGCTAGTTATTACTTTTAGACTGCCTAAGGATGACAGTATTTTATCATGTCATCACATCTATGCAACAGACAATGCAATCGAGTCACTCAGTGTGCAATTTGATTTGATTTTTCATTTCTTTTAGATGCTTATAATCCTACCTGATATTAGCAGCAGAGTGGGTTGGGCTGCGGCAGTGCAATAGATAATCTAGCAGGACATATTTTTGCCTACAATCTCATGCAAGTAGCAAGTCATGATGACTCTTAGCACCAACAAGAATAAAGATGAGACTTTCTCATAGGGGCTTCTGCAGCAATATCAACATTGTTAGGCTTCCACTCTGCAGAAACCAGATGGCATTTTTCAGCATAATAGAGCAATATTCCTTCAACAAAATTCTAGTGTTCAGTTTGAACTGTCTTGGAGCACTGGAAAGCCCAGAGGGGGGCTATTCACACAGGGGTTAATGGACTGAATTCTGCACTTGTATTCCCAAAGTCCAAGCCTCCATGCAGATGTTCTCCCAACTTCACTATCATTCAGCAAGCTCTGCCTTCGGTCCTTCTGATCCATTGTAAATTGCATTGGATATATGGATTTGCACTTTTCATAGTTGTATGAACTGCTTTAGCTAATGGTTACCTAACTTTCACAAATCTGGCATAACAGCTATGGGCACTGGTATCACAACCAAGACAAATACTTTACACAGGTCCACATGATTCATCTTCTAAAAGCACTCGAGTTAAAGCACATACACCCAAACAATTAAAAACACTTAACAATTTTCTGATCAGTCCTTTTATTATGATTTGCTCAGTATCTCTCAGCTAGACCTGATTTAAATGAATCCAACTGAAACATCCCAAAATATACATATTCATTTGTGGCTATTATGACAGTGAGCAGTTCAAAGCACGGCAGAAATGTAGCAGAAGTTACCTTTTGAGGAACATAAAGTAAGATAATATCTTGAACTTGATAATTAGATAAATGAAGTCCTGCCTATTTGTCTCCTGCTGTTTTAATTCAGGGAGCACTCTGTGCTTCTGAATCGTGGTACAAAGGTACTCTCCATTGCTATAATGCTGAAGTACATTGCCTATCCAATGCTCTAAGGCATAGGAACAGATTACCCACAGCAGCTATGCAATCTCTAGCAATGAGAATTTTTCAGAATAGGTTGGGCAAACTACTCTCGACAGTTGCTTAAGTACAGCTGTCGCTACCTTCAGACAAAAGATGATCTTTCATGGTTTTTCCCAGCCCTGTTTTGTAGAATTTCATGGCTTAGCAACACATAAACCACAGTATAAATTTCCAAAGCAATAACAATTAGGAGACTTTGAAGTATTGGCTGGGCTAGATGACCTTCTGAGGTCCCTTCCAACCAGGATTATCCTATGAGTCTATACATTTACTATACATCAAACTGTTCCCCTCAATACACTGCTGTAATTTTAAAGGTCAAAGCATCAAACATGGAGAATTATGGAGGTAACATACATGCATACATATCAACATGGTTCTTCTACTGTACCTTTCATACCCTTATGAAACACGTGAGATATATATATCCTCCATCTGTTTCTCTCTATATTGTAGTCTGGTTATACTTCCCCTCTGTTTCTCTCATCTGTTACCTTTTTCTCTTGAAAGCAACACAGTTTAACAATTTTAATAGATTCCTCTATGCGTTCAGAATTTGTGCACAAATGTTTTAGCATCCTAAAAGATTATCTTATCTAACTGAACTATATTTACAGATGAACATTCAGAACAATAAACAATATTTGTCTGAATTTTAATTTGAAGTAAAAATAACAACTTGACTGCTACAGCAATAAATCTTTTACATAACTAAGTAACTTTGTGAAGCAGTAAATGTTTTTTCCACATAGGATGGGTTATGAGTATGTGATACATTGAGTTGGCTGTAAGATCTCAACACAAACTAAAGACAAATTATCACCTTAGTCAGAAAAAAATGCAACGTTCTCAAGTTCAGTCTTCTGCTTTATAATCTGACTACTATAAATGAGCTTTTGAAAAATGGAGTAATTTACTTGTACTTGCAGCATGCTACAAGCCCACACAATAATTTTATTTCTTGCTCTAGAATGTGCTTCTTAGCAAGTGCTTTCTGACAAGAAAAAACAAATTTCATGGTTCTATAAGAACCAGAACATCTGGAAATTACTTCTGGTGACAGACAAAAAGTAGCTCTGCCAAAAGCACCAATAAAACTGCAAGGCTAGCCTGTTTTTTTCCTAAAACCTAAAGACTGGGCTGATATCCCACAGACAAAAAAAATAAAGTTAGTTTTATACTTCCTTATTCCTATTTCTGCTTTCATACTCCTTCGGGCAATAAGGGTTCAGAGACCGAGAACTGAACTGAGCTGTGAATCCATGCAAAACACTGTACTTCGCACAAAACAGAACCCAGGCCGAGTTTAACAGCAGTTCACGCGAGTCTGCCCTGTGGTCACGAGACACAGGGAGGAGAGTAGGATCACATCATCCTCAGTCACGTCAAGCCAGTAGCCTTTGTGGTCCAGTCACAACTCAAACAAGTCTGAAGAGCATAAACATAAGTCTCTACTATGGTTTATTTCTTGCTGCTTTCCCTTAAATCAAACAGAAGCTTAGAAATGAAATCACAACTTGTCTTTAAATTTTTTAAAAACCTACAAGCCAAAATTCCAGTATTTCACACTTCTTAGGAGAAAGAAAAGTAGAGTTAATTTACAGCAGTGATCCCATTGTTGAGATCACTACTGTTCCCATTGAGATGTATGTCAAGGCTACTTTTTTATTCAGTGAAAGCAGGATCCTGGCATCTGTGTAGCTGCAAGAGGTTACATGCATCTAAATTATTCAAAATTGAAACCAAAGCTATTGAATGAAAGAATTTTTAATGCAAAAGGTCTGCTGTTGCCATTTTCCTGTATGTTATGATTCTAAAGAAATGTGCCAAAACAATTGTTTTGTAAGTCTACCTACAGGGGAATGAATAAAAACTAATGGGTAAACACTTTAAATACTTCCAATGCGAGTGTCTTCACAAGCTTTAAATGACTTTATTAAGGCAGAACAGCACAGTCTTTCAGAGTTATTTCATAAAAAGAAATCAGTTCTCTGGCTACTTTTGAAAGGAATAAAACCCTGAATTTTTAGGTAAAAACAGCAAAAAAATTTTAATAAGAACCAACTGAAGCAAAAACATAAACCATGAAACAGTTATTCCCACTGCTTCAGTAATCGACTTAGAGGTTTCAGTCTATGCCTGTAATATTCCTTATGCACAGATGCTCTAATCTTTCAGAAAACCTTTCCTGACACCAGGATAACTGTACTGAGCAGGCTTGCACAACATTATTTCCACATAGTAGTCATTGGGAAAGATGGTCCAGCGTGACAGCACTGAGAATTATGAACATATTTTTTACTTCTTTAAAAGCATTTGTGAGAACGTACGGAAAGAATACAAATTAGGGTTATACATAGAGAAACCGTAATTATAGATGCTCATATTCTACCATTAAGGACATGGTTTAAAAGCTGTATTAAAATAGGACTATCCCTGATTAAACACTGACTAAAGCCATAGATTTACATCTAGAATATGAGAGGATAACATTTTTCTCCTTTTTGGTTGTCATTTTAAACAACAATTTGGTCAACATCTCACCCTTTAACGTTGTATCAAAGGGGACGATCAAGCCCTCCTCCATGTGCATAAATGTATGGCGAAAGATCCTTGCTACAAGGATTTCCAGACTTCTGATACCTACTCCTGACACCAGTACTACAGAAGAGTTTAGGCTTCCTAAGAGTTTAGGCTTCCTTACATGCAACGCATTTTGACGTTCCACAGAGAAACAAGATCAATAAACTACATCCAAACAGAAAAGAATTGCTCCTACAAACATGATAAAAGTCACTGCATAAAAGTTGGACTTACAGAAAATTACACAAGATATTAGATAATATAAATGCAGATATATATTCAAATATTTTTATTTTATCCTCACACTTAAACACATATTGACACGCAACCTCCAGATCAGGCACCATATATTAATGTGAATTTTTGATTTCCCTTCTCTCCCCTTCAATGTGCTTAAATGCAGCCTCTGATGTAAAAATAGTATGGGTGTCCCAAGGTTTTCATGAAGCCATTTCACAAGTCCAGGTATGCACTATTTTCTTATAACACTCAGATTCTGGTAGGGAAATCCAAGAGAGCTCTGCCACTGATTACAAGAGCAATCCTTGTAAGTGCAGGGCCTGACGGGGTAACCTAGTGGTCAGCACTGTATGAAAGTTAGGGGAACAGCTGCATGGATTTTGGCTCGGAAGACTGACCATTTAAAAGAGTATGTGCCATGGAGCAGTGGGACACACACATATGCACAGATGCATACATATATGTGCGTGTATGTGTAGATAGATAGATGGATAGACAGAGCTCCACCAAAAAGATGTCTATTCAGTGTGGTACAGAATAAGAAAGGAAACCATTCAGGGAAGCTAGACATGATATAATTACCATTAGCTTAGCCTTTCCCTAAGATTTAAAAATCTATAATTGAGAACCATGGGAAAAGATAATCAAACTAGGTCTAATTTTATCTGGCTTTAATTAAATCATTGAAGCACTAACTCAGTTCTTACAAAGCTGTTTTTGCATGGCTTTACTGTTATTCCATTTTGACTTTTTTTGAAATAAAAGTGAAATGAAAGTCCTAAATTCAGGAAATTATTGAAATATACCCTTAATTGTAACAATGGGCTACAGAGTTACATTTCTCATGCATGCACTGTACTCTTGTACAGATAATTCAGTGTTTGCTGGACACAAGGATCCAGTGTACATACATACAGCAATTGTATGGTACAAGACATGCAGTAAAGGGAGAGAAAAGAGGTGCAATTTATGAAGAAGACATTTAATTTCAGTCTGGTGCAAGATTTCCATCCTGCTGTGCCTAAGAAATGGCTTACCTAGAATCAAAAGGCTTCTCCAGGTTCCAAACCAAGGGCCGATTCCCAACCAATTGGTAACTCCAATCCAGGGCTTATAATTAAAGTCCAACTTCACTCTGCAGAAGGTAGCGCAACTGGCATGGTATTTTTCATGCTTTTAGGTGATGAGGAGTGGGAATACGACAGAATGACGAAGAGAAGAGATCTGTGGAAAAAGTGAAAGACGAGATAGTTCTTAAGATTACTGAATTATCAATTACTGACTGACAGCTGAACTCCTAAAAATCTCACTGGTACAGTTTTCCTCATACGACAGTCAGCAGGGAGAGCCTGGATAATTCTGACTGCTTTTGAAAAATCTTGCCCAGCAAAAACATAACACGGGAAATGCAGGAAAAAGTTATTAAGTATGTCTATAAAAGCCAAAGTTACATGTGATAAATATTCAGCACAAAACATGTGCGTGGTGGAATGCTGTGTTCTTCTCTAGGGTGGTCACGCAGCTTCTGAGACATTAAAATTGAAAGAACCTGGACTTTTGTAGCAGTTTAAAAATGTTAAGTAATCATCATTTTCATACCAGTTATACAATAACTTGTTGCAAATTTCAGCAACACTGCAACATTTTAAGTTTAAAATGATAGTTAAAGAATAACAAAACCTCCTTCTGATTTTAATATACTTAAAATTAAATGTATATGACTGATTTCGTTTATTGCAGTCTACTAGCATTTACTTTCTTGATTTCTATTCTTTCTCTTATCCTTACATATTATCAATTCAAAAATAAATCCTAATTAATGCCTTTTTTTTTTTTTAAGCTGTCTACCTCTAATTCTTCCTGTTCCAAAATAAAACAAGTAATTTACCAATGCTTACCTACTCAAAAATAAATACAGTTCAGTTTTGGAAAACTGAAAGATTAGCGGCAAGTGTAATGAACTCTAATCCTTACAAGAAGCCTGTAGGAGTACAATAAACGCTTTTACTTTTTGTCAGGCCCATTGACATATTGTTATGTATGCGCACCCTCTACATATCAAGGTGCAAAAGCAAGCTTCTTTATAATAATCTCCGTATTATCTGTAGTTCTGCCAACAAAGCCAGTCTCCAACTTTTCAGACTGAAAGCTTATTTCTTAACACACCTTTTTATTGCCACTGAATTACTGAGGCCTGATTAAAGTTTAATGATGTGGCTACTCTGCTGATGAGTCTCCAGAGACTATCAGTTACTGACAGACTAATCTGAGTTTCAAAGCAACAGAAGTGCTAAGAGAATATGGAAGTAGCTGTACAGCGGCAAACTAGAAACGTTGCCTGCTTCAAAGGCAGGCGGCAAGAGCAGCCTGAGCCTGTGATGTTACCCACGCACTGCTCAGGAGTCGGCTGGCCCCAGAGAGCTCTCAGAAGAGCTCAACGCCAACCAAAGTGAGGTGACCTTGTTACACACATTACGTTTTCTTCATTAGCCATAGCTAGAATTTCTCAGACTCCCAAAGCATTGTCATCTGCCAGGCCTGCCCACCTTGACAATGCATCAACATAACCACTGATAAACAAAATTCAGGTGAAAATATTAAGGCTTAAAACAACCAAACCAAATTAACCAACCAAACAAACAAACTAGACCTGAGTAAAACCAAACTATCACCAAACTAGCACTGAGAAAATATTTATCAAATATTTGATATCAAAGATTTGCTGGTTTCTGGGAATGTCTACAACAGGCTCAGTATGATTGATTTTGTCCCATTGCGCATCTTATTCCTTTATTCCCCACAAATTCACAACTCACAGGAAGTGACTACGACTTTGCTCAAACAACTACAACCAGCATTGTAAAAGCACTCTGAATCCACTGCAGTCCAAAGTTTTCTATAGACAAAAATCATTATTTACCATTTCCATTTATACCCCTCCTTTTCCCTCCTTACCAAAACAGGGACAAATTAAAGGTATGTCAAAGCGTTCCATATAAAAGTTCCGGAAATGAAAGATTAACTTTTTTTTGATTTTTCACTCATTCCTCTTCCAGTCACTAGCAGTTCATCCAATTCAAGTGAAGTTGCATTCAACTTTGACATGAATCACTCACTTATCTCTCAAACATACCACTCCCTGGATAGGTCTTCAGTAATATCCTTAAGTGAGGCATCTCTCTATGCTCCAAACACTTCTATGTTTAGCAATTAGAAATCAGATACATAGCAAAAGTACATTGGCCTCACTTAATTTTTACTATCATTCACCTATATCAAAATGTAAGCAACTGAAATACTGAAGTGCAAATTCACTGACAGAATTCAAAAAGCATATATTCAAAAGCAGAGGTCTGTGAATTAAAATACCTGCCTCCACATTTAATTCTGATTTTTCCTCATAAAACAGAAAATTATTTCACCATCTCATTAAATTCTAAACAACCACACCCTCAATCTAGACAAATTCTTTCTGTTCTCCTTCAAAGCTATAAATTGAGTCGTCTTTGTCTTCTTGATACCCTCCCAAAGGATGCCTCACTATTAAAGTTACACATCTCTTGTTCCTGGGTTGGCCTACAAACACCTTTTCATTCAGTTCCGGCTATTTCAAGTTTAGGCAACTTTTACAGCCCTTATGCAATCCTACTTTCTCATGGACATTGCAAAAAGTTCTCTCATAACTGGCAACTTTATAAGCTACCTGAGCAAATGCTGAGGACTACTGGCACAGGGACTGCATTATTTTAATTTCATTATAAAATAGCACAGGCCTGAACTACGTCAAAGGGGCTGCGCAGAGAGGGTTTCATGCCAGTGGCTGAGCTGTACCTGTTACGGTGGAAATACGCATTTCAGTTTAACAACTAACATTTATGATTCTGGAAATACCATTAGCTACTGTGGTGAGGCAAATCACTTTCATAGTCATTTTGAAACACATTTCCAACTCCATAGGATTTTGTATATGAGTGTAGGCACTCTGTTTACAATATCCCCTCCCGCAGCCATTTAAACAACTGTACATGGTAATTTAGCTGCGGAAAGTACCAAAAAACAAGAAAGGTCAATGTTTTCAGGTTTATTTAAGTCTTTCTGGCTTGCATTAAGGTTGTCGGCTTCTTGTTATTCTCCTGAGAGTTCAGCCAGAGATGTCCAAAATGAGATCAAAGGACAGTGTACAGTCGAAAATGAATGGGGTTTTTTGGTAGCAGCTGTCCCGCTCTTTTCATACACCTGCGTTTCATTGTCAGCATATTCTGTTATTTATTCAAATAGATTTCATGAGCAATTTCTTATTCATATTGCATCTCATGAATATACAATTTACCTAGAAAATAAACACACAGCAGTTGGTATACACTTACATGAAAATCTATACCAGAAAAAAGTAAATCATTTTTCTTCCTATTTTAATTGTACGTTCTCGCCAGCCACGTAATTTTAATGCCTCAGTGACCATCTTCGAAAGCACAGAACACTATAGCTAACAGCCACAGATAACTCTGTCAAATTAGACTCCTTCCGGATTATCACTGGCATTGTTCTTTAAATTTCCTTCTTCAGACTCCTTTTCTGTTGTCTCCTGATTTTTTTTGTTTTCTATTTGCCTGTCCACATGAAGAAAAGCGGACAGTTCTCACTCATAGCTGCTGTGAGGCTTTTTCAGCATGTCTTCTAACTTGACCTCTTCTCTAGGGAGATAAAAAACATATCCTACTTAAACACTAGCTGCTTCCATCATTTGAAAATTTCACCCAAGAGAACAGTCAAAAATATAAAGCCTCAGGGAGACAGTGCAGATAGAATCAAGAACTGAAAAATTCCAGTGATTTTCAGTACGACTCAATTCCAAATCCCATTTTGGAGCAAGACTCCAAATTCCAGTCCATCCCACAGAGCAATTATTCAGAAGAATTTGAAAATTCCACATGTATTCTCAAAATTAAGCTGGCCCATACAGTCGCATACTTATAAATAAGTACCTGGACTTCGAACTACCTCTAGAGCCACAGGAAGAGACAAGACTGAGCACAGAGCGGTTGTACGGCGCGTTCTCAAAGCTAACGGGACATTAAGTTTGGAGGCTTAGAAAGCACAGGAAGTAAAAAATGTTTTTACATCTGTTTCCGAAAACCCAGAACAGCACAGATGAACTCACAGAGGATGTGTGTGAATGTCTCTCTCTACTTTCTACTCAACCTGTATCATCACTTTTAGATGCCTAGACCATTTCAGTTAATGCTACAGATAATGGCTCATTTACCTAGAGCCATTATTATTATTATCAACCTCCAATTCAATTCTGAATAAAATTGAGTGTATTGGTTTTGACCTAACAGGCCCTAAATGGCTCAGCTTGAATTTACTGCAAACAACAGTTTCTTTTTTTTTTTTGTGTAGTAGCTCTCTATTGGAATGCGCCTGACAGCAAACTATTTTCCCCAAAGGATTTTTAAATCTGGGAATGGCTTAATATTCTTGATTTATCTTCCAGAATTTAAATTCGATCTTCTCTTCCCCCATCTTTTCTGGGAATGCACACAGGCTCACAATAAAGTGCAGGTTTGGGAGTTTAAAAAAAAAAAACGGGGAGAGACTAAATGTGTAGGTTTAATATTTAAATTTGTAAATTAACTCAAAAATTGTGAAGTTATTTTAGAAAAAAATTTTCTTTGTAGTTATGCTTGTATATAGAGGAAAAATAAATACACCCAACACCCATGCTCTATGGTAACGATCTGCATTTATTAAATTGGGAGCCATGCGATGCAGTCTGGAGCTAAGTGACAAAAAACACATTGATTGTTCTCTTTTAACTAAGGGCAATAGCTGTCTTTGTCAGACCATTTTCCTCTAAAGCATCAGAGGCCTAGGAACTAAATGGAAAACTAATTTGCACTAATACAAACTAAAATCATTCATGATACTTACCTGTTACAGCACATTATGACACCTATTCAACACCGGTTTGTTAACACAGGGTGCATTAATTATGGCCCAGACACCCACCTCAACAAAGGTGAAAAAGGCTTGTATAGTTCTAACAAGATTTTGTAACGAGATCACCAAAACTGTAAAAAAAGCTATCAAAAAGGTCTTCATCCAAAAAATATTAATGTATTAAAACTAAATCTTCTTCAATGCAAGCAGTTTAACCAGTGTAACTCTACAAGTAAAATAGACCTGATAATTTGGGTAGGAGATACATCCCCG